TATTACACAAAGGCCCCAAAATCTTCCAGTTCCGACGAATTGGTACGACCACAGTTACAGGGTCTCGAGTTTTCCTGACCACGACGTTAGTTACCGAATCCGTTTTTCGAAATTCAATTTTCGTCTAGTGGAAATTGAACTTGTACTCAACCGCTTGGGGTGCGACAACTTCACCACTTCACTAAGTCGCCACACCCTTCTATAATTTTTAAATAATTGAATCTTAATAGCAAAGGCAGAATAACTAAATTATAAAAAAATATATATAGTATTTATATAGAAAGTTACTATTTTTACTTTTTACAGATATTAAAAAATGCTCTAAAAGAGATATTGTTATTAAGTAAATCTTCTTTTTGGTCTTAATAAAAGTTGTTCATCAGGTCTTTCTAGTTCTAATAGTTATAAAATAATTAAAATCAGACTAATAGTTTTTTTTAAATATAAATAAAAGTTAACTAACTTCAAATATAAATATCTTAGGAACTATTAAACCAATTTTAATAATTTTATTACTATTAAAACTGGAAAAACCTGATAAACAACTTTTATTAAGACTACAAAGAAGATTTTCTTAATAATAATACCTCTTCTGAAGTACTTTAAAATTTTGGAGGTGGCATTAGCAAAAATAGGTAATAAAAATAGCAATTCTCTTTATATAAATTATAATATTTTTAATTTTTAGATTTAAATTGCAAATAACTCTTTTAACTTTTTAGTTAACTATAGGCTCTCTAGTTTTAATATTCTTAGAATATAAAGTTCAAATAATACTTTTTTATAATTTGTAAAAAAGTTTATTAAATAAAGATATAGCCTCACCTTTGAAGATTAAAAATATATATTTTTTTAATTTTATTATTTTTTTTTTTATAAAAAAAATATTATTTAATTGATAATATTTTATGGGTTTTGTAATTTAGTGCACCTGCACTGCAGTGCATCCTTTAATTTAACCAATTAAATTTGTAGATTATTTGTACAACATGAAGATCTTGTATAACAAAAATAATAGTTTTTGCTTTAATTTTTTATAAAAATTATAATAACTCAAAATTTTATATATGAAACTACCTTTGTGTTTTTAAAAAAAAAAATTCCTTGCTAAATTTTGTATATACTAATATTTAGATAAAATCTTAAACCTTGATCTAACCCTAAAGTAAATTAAAAGTTATTTTTTGTTTTTATAAAAATTTTATTTTATTTTTGTTACACCAATTTGCAAATCAAATAAGATGCACTGCAGTACACTATGCACTAAATACTAAAATTTATATTTTATTATAGAATAGTAAGTCTTAATATAATATTCTAAACTATTTAGCAATTTTTTAAAAAAAACAAGTTTTTAGTAAATTAAGAATTTTTGAATAAAAAAATATTTAATATAGTAATTTCTCAAATTTAATTTTTTTTAAAAAAAAATACCAAATTTTGCTATATAAGTTAATTTAAGTCTAATATATAGTAAAAACAAATCTTAATAAATAAAGACAAAATTATTTAATTGTTTAAATAAATTTATTTAAAATAAAATAGTACTTTTATTATTTGATTAATAGTTTTAAAATTCTTTAAAATTTTAATATATTTAAAATTTAATTAATTGATTTTTATAACGCTCATAGCGTTATTTCGAATTTTGACCCGAATTAAGCTTAATTTGGGCCAAAATTCGAAATTGAATACCTGCGCGTTATTACGCGAAAATACAGTAATTGTATAAACTGCTATCAATAGAAAGCAAGCAGATCGACATTGTAAAAACAGCCAATACTTTAATAACTTATCTGTTATATCTTGATATATTTTACAATTATTCAATATAAATATAATTTTTTTTAAAAGTATCAATATACTGGTTTTCTATTAATGGCAAAAATAAACAACACAAGTTTAAATTGCAAAAACTACTATACACACGCAGAGAGCAAAATCGCAGGGCAAAAAAAAAAAAAAAAAAATACCATTGCACTTGGAATGAAGTTTCAACTTTTGGAACCAAACTATAGAATGCATTTAGAAAGTAGAGTGGGTGTCATTTAAGAAGGTATCACGGTATTTTGTCAGACTATGCAGATCTGCCCCTGACCGGAGTTAATATTCAAGGCGCATTTAACTGAAACTAAATCCTTTTACTAGAAGTAGCAATTTTAAGCACTACAATCGAGCATTGCCAAATTAAAGTCTGTAAATGAATATTTTAGTTTTTGCAGTACCGAACTTAGCTCCTGAAAATTGTGTCATTGTATACAGTTTGGAACATAATATAATATATATAGTATGATTTGATACGATGTATCAAACATCGATATTTTAATTACGTAACAGTAAATTCATAATTTTCTCGTGATTAAGTCCGGTACGTTCTATCTTTATTCAAATTTGGAGTCTTTAATAATGCACACACTATTACTTCATAATCATGACGCTCTTGTGATCTACAATTACTGCGGTATAGGTAGGCAAGTATGCTACCCCTAAGGAATTTACTAATTTCCCCCACCACTTCTAATTGGTTCTACTAATTATTCTCATATCGGAGTATCTGTGTAATTAATCAATTTTATAATTCTCCGATAGTGAGATGGTGGGAGAAATTCGGCACCCAACGCTAAGTGATACGAATCAAAAACAAATTAAGAGCAACCAATTACGCTTCATTAAATAAATCATGTGATTGTACAGTTAACCATTAAAATTAAAATTAAAATATAAGGCGAAGCTTGTATAACTCATGAATTAGTAATCGCACGAACACGTGATTAATGTAAGAAATTGTTTATCGTTATACTGCACATTTTGGTAATTTATTATCTTTACTGTTTCTATTTATTATATTCACTTAAATGTGAATCTTGAAACTATGTATTAGTTTGATTACAGCTTGATTAGGCTTGTTCATTATTATTAAAGATTAATAATTAACCAATTAAATAATCTAATGATTTTACAAAATCATACGTATTAGTGACACATATTTGATGTGATATTTGATACTACACATTGTGATTAAATAATTTATACAGTATTTAATATTCAAAGTAAAAACACTTTACATCTTTAAAACCTGAATTAAAAAGGTAAAAAATGTTTAATATATAGAATACGTATATTTGCAGATATTAAGAGCTGGGTTTCTATTTTAAATTTACCAAGTTAGCTGAATCAACACCTGTATATTCTTTCATTAACGACTCTAGCCCTAAATGCTAATCTAAACCTAAAAAAGAAGGCCATCAAAAATATGCCACAGAGAAATTTTTTACATTAATAAAATTTAACATTAGCCAATTTTAGTAATTTTAGTATTAGTTGCCACAATCATTTTAATTTCTTAATATATACTGATATACAGTATATAAAGACTTTATAATCTAATTTAAGGTATCTATAAGATATATGTAAGATATAAAAACAGATTTCATTCACCATTGTCATACATATTATTACAATAAATATGCTATTGTTACCAAAAATATCCAAGGTAGATTTATTTTAAAGGAATATTCATATAAAAGCAAGATTACGTAATACGCAATTCAATAACGATAATAACGATAATACGTGACAACAAACTTAATAAATCTTATTGGGAATAATTTTCATTAGCGAGTCATTAGAAATATTCCAAAAAGGTATCTACTAACTAATTTAGATTGTCCGACAGATACTTCTGAAATCAAAATTATACGCGATATTCGTTTTTTCCATGAAGATTATTATTATAAACGATTAAACAGGATTTGAATACTATCACGACACAAATTTGTTACGTTACAAGACTTTTTCGAATGAACACACTAGAGCGCCAAGATATTTTGTTTACATCATAAGGTGACACGGTCATTGAGGTCCCTGCAAATGCGGTACGCAAAATCGAAAAAAAAGTTAATATGATACTATTGGTAGAGAGAATGTTCCAAGATGAAATGAGAAAATTTATCTTTATAAGCATTGATTACTTCTTTGTTGACTCGACGAAGAAATGCATTAACATACGCCAAATAAAATCGTTTAAAGAATGCGTATTTACAATTAATTGTTACCTAAAAAATCTTCGGTATTCTATAAATGGAAATAAGTCAAATCTTTATGAATATATATGAATAAATATGAATAAATATGAATAAATATGAATATATAAGAAGGAAAGTAATCCAAAGTCGTGCATTGCGTGATTGAGCACTCGGAATTTTAAACACCGATGCGTACAGATATTACATTATTGATGTGTCCACAACTTTGAGCATAATGTTAAGAGATCGTCGAATTTCTCTTAAAATGAGATGATTATGTACTGTAACATACTGATATGTAGAGTTATTAATATTTTCAATGAGAATAGAATGCATTTTTTTTCATTTTGGTTAACCATGCCTTGTAATACTATATTTCGCAATGTTATTATTAAATTACTAAATGTTTTTGCTAAGTTGGTAAGAATAACCTTAAATTATATCTCACTTAAAGCAGTCTAGCATCACGTGTTCATATTCACAATTTAAGAGTAGTGTTGCATATAAAAGAATTAATTGGTCTTTATCAAACGATTTTCGTCTTTTTTTTGTAGATAAATTACCCTCCTTGGTAATTAATCAATCAGGGAACCAATTATCAACAACAGACAGGTTATATTTAAAGCGCAACAAATTATTTGATCACATATAAAGAAAATGACACATTCCATCACATTCTAATTGGATGAAAAAGAAAGTATAACACGTATAGAAGTTAGTAATGTATTAAAGTTAGATACAGTTTTATTTTATTTATTTTATTTTATTATTATTATATGTTTTTTTTTTTTTTTTTTTAATGAAATTATTGTAATTTAAAGAATTTACTTAAACCTTTTGACAATCCAATATGATAATTGAGAAATTAAAAGATTTTTTCAAACCAAAAAAACAAAACGCGTTAGAATTACAAAAACGAGATAGGCAAAAAAAGAAAGAGGATAAGCAAGATAACCAGATAAAAGCAGGATTTCAAATTTATTATTTATTGAAGGGTGAATAAACCACGTGCAAAA